GCACTAGATTCAGATTATTTGTTTAATTTTTGACGTCTCAAGTTGTATCTAACCAATCATATTATATCACATTATCATAAATACAAACATTACAGTATAAAAAACATTTCAATATTTTTTTTAATTACATGACAACATTTAGGACATCAAAATTGAATAGGTATTTTGAGTTTAGTGCTAAGCACTACTACTAATAGAAGGTGAATCTCATTTATAGGTTAGTATATTACAGAACATACTTTTTATTAGTGAGTAGTGCTCAATACAATCATTTCTTAGAGTATTGTTCTGGTTTTTTTCTTTCATAGAATTCATAAGAACACTACTGTTTTTTTTTTTTTTATTGCATTATTAGCAACTTAGCAAACCCATTAAGCTGATCATCATCATAACTTCTGACGACAATTATTTTTTGTCAGTTACGGAAGCACTAAACTCAATTATAATACTAGCATCATAATTATAACGTTATATGCTTAATTATAGAGTCGTTTGATAGCTCCATTAATAGTGATTTGAAGAAAATAAATGAGAGTGGACCCTGTCAATCGAATTACTAGTAGCCAGTTGAGGATGATGTATGTGCCCAAAAATCAAATATAGAGTATAGAAACAATTATATGAGCAACTCGAACGATGTAGCCATTTCATGTTTTTAACTAAAATATCTAATAATTTAGGTTTTCTCCACTCTAATAATTAGTTAAATGGTTAGCTATTTTTGTTAAAGCATTTTTCACTAGCTAAATATAGCTAGTAAGAAGTGACTAGCTATTTATTTTTTTTATTATTTTATTCTTTGTTTTGACATGAAGCAAAAGTTAAAAAAAAATATTTATATTTTAACTCAAAAAATATTAAAATAATATATGTTTATAGCTAAAATAGAGAGTATAGTTGGAGTGACTCACTAAAAAGTTGCTAGTTAAAATTCATTTGAGTTAAAATTTAGCTAAAATTTAGAGAGCACCTTTGGAGATGCTCTAAGATTAAATTTTAACATTTTTACTTTACTTGAACTGGGATCCGAATTCTAAACTTCAATATTAAAGTAGAGGTATACGTATGAATTCACATTTAAATTAAATCAACAATCACAAATTATTTACCTTTTATTAATTTCTCATTACAACTAAGCAAGTGATATAAAGTAAATGTAGCCTAAGACCACTTGGTGATCTAGTGGCACGGGGAGGGTTTGAGTGGGATGAGAGAGGTTGCGGGTTTTGTATAAAATAAATAAATAAACAAAGTAAATGTGCAGAGTAAATTAAAAAAAAAAAAATCAAAGACAATATTATTGGTTAAGTGAAGACACTGCCCCTAATCCACGCAAATCAATTTTCAACTAGAATCATTATACCTGACCAGAACCTTAATTTTGTGCTCGATCTTGACTTCATAAAAAAGTAACGGCGGTGGAAACATAAACAATCTAATTAAACAAACTATACTGAAGTCCAATGAAGTTTTCAATAGCTTTGACGTTTAATAAAGCTCTCCTGATCAGGCACTGTACGTAGTTTGAATTAATTAGCGTACTTACGTGATCAAATCACACCTTTTTAGGGTTTCATTGATGTTTAGTATATTGCAATTGCAAAATCACAAAACAAGCTCTAGTTAGACAAGTAAACATTAGGAAAATGCTAAGATGGCCACAGAAAAAAAAAAAAAAAAAAAAAAAAAAAAAAAAAAAAAAAAAAACAACCTCTATTAAGAATAGTGTGATACTCGTGTGAGTGAGTACTTGAATAGTTGGGAGTTCAAAATGAAATTGACTTTCTATTATTATGTAAAAGCAGATTATAATTTGAAACTTATGTACGTGAAGAAAAAAATTTAAAATATGTAATGTATGGAAGAATAGGTACCTTGACTATCAAGTAATCAATCTACGTACGTCAACCTCCACATATGTACACGATATTATATATATATATATATATATACATGTATATATGTATATATGTATATATATTGCACACTCACAACGTTTACACTTGACAGTACTAGCTACTTAGCAGCATTATATGCTCTTTCATATGATCCATCTGCGTACAAATGATCATGATATGTTAAACTAGAACAAAAAATTAATACTCATCAATGCACGAATCCTTTTCACATAGAACTCTGTGTAAACAGAAGAAAGATTCGGTCACTTTGAGCAGCGTAATAATTAATGGGTCTGATTGCATATATAATAATATAGTAGAAAAACCAAAAGTGATCAATACAAGAAAAAAAAAATCTCTTGAATTGGATACCTATCATGATCAGTGATGACTTGGTAATGCTATATGATCAACAACCAACAACCGAAAAATGATGATATTTTATCTAGAAAAGTACTCGCGGTATATCGCCCGTGTATCTATTAAGAACTGCTATTAACAGAAAGTGAGTTTATCTGTAGATTTTATGTTATAAGATCACCGTTTATTAGTAGATGGTGTTTAATACATTATTACTGATATTGATGTTTTTATTCTCCATTCCAAACCATTTATTTTTATTAATTAATATGCTTGCCACGTTTGCGATGACACAATATATGAAGCAGAAACATGTCTTTGTCGTATTAAATTGCCAAGTTTAAGCTTTTAATTAACACGTGATCATATCATCCCACGTTTAGAACTACAATGGCCAATCATACCCTTTTCCTCACAATAGAAAGACAATCAGCGAAGTAGGGGAATATTTTGTTGCCGGCCAATAAGCATTTTTGACTTGGACAAATATGCGGCTTTTAATTTAATTACTTATTTAATATCCTAATCCTCATGACAAAAGCTTATTATATAACTTCTAGTGCTCTTACTTTCAAAGTAATTTTTTTTTTTTTAAAAGTTGCCGTATAATATGGTATTGACTTGTGACAATATTACTACTATTCAAAGGCTGACTAAAAGGCCACGTTCGGATGTTTTCCAAGTTTGGCCGGTGTGGGCTTTTCACCATATTACATGTCCAAGTCTCACATTTTACCCATGCGAAGGAGCGCAGAAATTATAATTTTTCTACGTAGATTATTATACGATTAGTACAAGTGTTTTTCTATTATATGTAATATATAACCCATCAATTCCTTTGAAGTACTAATTGGATTGGTAAAGCTGCATATTCAAATGCGGCTTTGTATCTAATTTCATTGAATAGCGAGGTAAAGAAAAGATTACTTTTCCACGAAGAAAAACGTAATTTGAGTAAATCAGTTCTTGAACGAGCTTTTCATGTTCAGCTTAATCTAAAACGAGCACTAATGTTTTATGCACGCGTGATTGTATTATGTAATATACGAATAATGAAAATGAGTTAACAAATTATTGATCCACGTAATCAATATATAACTAGCTAGTATAGGTTTATAGCTAATTAACCTGCTCGACTTTTGGCATTTCAAATCTGGTGGAGTTTAAAAAAAAAAAAAAAAAAAAAAAAAAAAATTCGCATAATAAAACCAAAATTATATATTCTCTTGAAATTTGTCTCTCGTTTTTAACCTCGTTTTATTTATTATTTTATTCTTCTTTTGAATATGCTAAGTTTGTAACAAAATTTAATTTTGATTTTAAAATGTAGTCTCAAGTTTACATGACACTATCCTAATTACAAATACTCGGACAAAATTTGTTAATAAAACTGTAATGATCACGATTTTTTTTTTATCTGAAAACACGTTAGTAAAGTAGTACCACTAACTTATTGTAACTTCATAAACTAAGAAGAACTAATAAGCTAATTATTATATATGTACAAGATATTAATAGTAAATATCCGACAAAGAATCCAATCGCTTCTGAGAAGCTTTTCTTCCCATATCCAAAAAGAGAGAGAACACACACACACAAAAAAGCTTGGTGGTGCATTCATTATAAAATTGCAATCTGCACTCGTTTTATTAACCTGCTACAAAACAAGAGCAAAAAACAATCACATCCATTAAGTTAACATATTATAATGCGGGTCACATTTGGATATTAATTAATTGCAAAGTGATCATTACCATATATCAAAGTTATCCGTTATCATATATGGTCGGTATAACTAATTTTGGATCAAAATCCAATTAACGCGGGTGTATCTCTCAAAATTCGGCCCCATATATAGAGGGGGGGAAAAAAACTCTCAAATGCTCCATATATTATGAAAAATAAAAGCTTAAATTTGAATGAACAAACAAGTATGGTTGTGTAATTCTGTGAAAAACCCGTCCATATATGCATATATATTATATTGTTTTTGTAAAAAGAACACATGAAACACACACGTATGTGTATGGGTCATGTGACTAGAATTTATTGTTTTTGGTCCGATATGCATATACTTTGCAATTAAGGGTAAGGGGCAAAAACATAATATGAACTCTTTTAGGGCTCTTCATATTTGATTTTCGTGGAAAATGACAAGGGTCCTTTTTGTTCTACATGATCATATTTCAGCCGCATATAACAGGCAGCTGTCGTGGACGACAGTCATTGGCTGATTCCGTGTAGAAAGTATGCATGCCTGCTTGCCCTCCACACCGAATATGGCCCCACGTGTCTTTTTAGGTGTAAATCGGTAATGAATTGGCAAGGAGCCAAATTAAGCACCGTTGGCAAAACAAGAACGAAAAGGGCTGCATCACAAAAAAGTTGGGGACTATTTTGAAAAGAAAATAAGACAAGGAAAAGCAGAAACACGGCAAACTACCCTTTTGATGTTCAGATCAAAGACTTGAAAAAAAAGGTTCAAATCAATTCAAAATCAACAGTATATTTTCCTAGTCAAATTTCCGACATTCTTGAATCCAACACATCCAAGCCTTTTCTATAAATACCAATTTAATACTCCTACTTTGGATCAAAAAAATTCATTTCATATTACTACTTATTAGACTTGAATCCAACAATTTCTCTATAATATCTTACAAGAATATTCTTCTTGGATTTGTTTTCTTATATAAGCTAGCTAGATTTCATCAGAACTAGCCAGCGCCAAGTTAATATATTATGGAGTTTGTTGGTCTAATTACTCAATCTTGTAACTTTGTCATGATGATCAATATCATGTTGGTCTTGTTTGTCATGATCTTGCTATGGAAATTAATATTCTCATTTTGGATTTCACCTGCTTTAGCATATTCAAAACTAAAGAGAAATGGTTTTGGAGGTCCATCTCCAAGTTTCCCACTCGGAAACATAATCGAGATGAAAAAGAAGATGATCATGATCAGTAGTAGTACTTATAAAACCAATAATACTGCTTCTGATCATTCTGAAAAGTCTTCATCAAATGTTACCCATGACATACATTCCACCGTCTTTCCCTAGCTGGCAAAAGTCCCACGGTAAGCTCAACTACTAGAAATAAATATTAGCTGCTTTCCTGATTATATATGTACGAACAAATTTTTAATGAGTATAATTATTTGCTCACTATGTATGTTATACATAATATGTACTTTACTTTTTAATAAGTGATCGTCTTTTGCTCTAGTTTTTCAAAACCCTAAAATTTCGTGCTTATCATTTGATCATGAACTTTTTATTCCTTTTTCCGCATATATATATATATATATATACGGCCTATCTGAAGGTTATAAATCATGATGATATGTAGTGTAAGGTTTAGCAATATTAATCTAAAATAAAAATTAAATAATATATGTGGTCCTGCAGGGAAAGTGTTCATCTACTGGCTAGGGACGGAGCCGTTTTTATATGTTGCGGATCCAGAATTTCTGAAGAAAATGTCGGGTCAAGTCCTGGCAAAGTGTTGGGGAAAGCCGTCTGTGTTCAAACGTGATAGAGAACCCATGTTTGGGAATGGTCTGGTCATGGTCGAAGGAGACGACTGGGTCCGGCATCGCCATGCTGTCACTCCTGCTTTCAACGCTACTAACTTGAAGGTCTTAATTCCGATTTCCTAACAATAATTTTCTTATCACAAGACCATATATAAATATATAATTAATTAACCTCCTTTAATCCTTTTTTATTCCTTGCTTTTGTTGGTCATTCATTTTACACCGTGATTATCACCAAGAGAGTTTCTGCACCCACGGCGGCAAATATAAGCCGCCACTCAAATATTTTTATTTTAAGGAAAATATATACATATATATATATATATATATATATTTATCATATACGACCAGTGGTGATGGCATGATAACAAGAGGATGACTTATTAGGATTCTCTCTCATCATCATCCAGGAAGACACCACTTATCTTCTCCTCTATTAGTTACTCTTTCTTCATTTATATATATATATATATATATATATATATATATATCAATAGGAACCTAATCTGAAATAGCTATGTAATTATGTGATACTTGTAGATGAGTAATTTATTGTAAATTTGTGATTGCTCATGTGGCTGCAGGCAATGGCAAGCTTAATAGTCGATTCCGCAACAAAAATGTTGGACGACTGGGCCACTCTCGTCAACTCCGGCAATCGAGAAATCGATGTGGAGAGAGAAATCACGGCGACCGCAGGGGAGGTCATCGCTAAGACGAGTTTCGGAATAAGTTACGAGAACGGCCGTTTGGTGTTCGAGAAATTAAGATCCTTACAAACGACTCTTTTCAGGACTAACCGCTATGTGGGGGTCCCATTTAGCAAGTTGTTGTGCCCAAAGAAAACACTAGAGGCCAAGCGAATTGGCAAGGAAATTGATCGACTCTTCTTCTCGATCGTGAATGCTCGAAAAGAATCGATCAATCAAGGGTGTCCCCAAAAGGACTTGCTAGGTTTATTGCTCAAGGAGAGTGAAGAGGGAGGATCGAGATCAAGGGCCTTATCGAGTAGGGAGTTAGTGGACGAGTGCAAGACATTCTTCTTTGGAGGACACGAGACAACGGCATTGGCAATCACTTGGACAATGCTACTTCTTGCCGAGCATCAAGATTGGCAAAATGAGTTGAGAGAGGAGATTAGAGAAGTGATTGGAGATAAAGAGGTTGATGCAAATTTGCTTGGTGGACTCAAGAAGGTAAATTACTGATACAGCTTTTATGTTATATATTCCATGACCATTACATTATTATCATGCATTAATACGCACATATATGAATTGCAAGATTATGCTATGAGAAGAAAATATTAATTAGCTAGCTTTCAGTTTAGTACTGTCCCGTTTCCATGTGGCCCATATCTTGCATGCAGGAATTCCTGGCAGCAATTAGATATTTTGGATCTCTTTATGTCCTGTATTGACCCCATATATAAGTTAGAATTAACGTAGAAATTATTACAAATATAGCTGCTACTTGTCTTGCTAGCATGGATGGAAGATATATACGTGACATAGCCAAATTAGCATTCAGACTCCTGTCCAAAGCTCCAAACTCTACTAAGCTACAAAGATGGTCGGAGGTCAAAAGTCAAAGCATGAAATGGCCCCTAGCTAGTTCACGCGTTAAAGCGCGTGGTAAAAGCATTTCATGATTCCCATGTGGTTTTTTTTTTTTTTTTTTTTTTTTTTTAATTTCCCTCTTGAATGAGGGGCCTATGGCTTGACAAGTACATCATATTTTATCGGTTTAGTTTGGTGCTTTGTTGGCTCCTAATGCCACTTGGCAGAACCCCTCATGGTTTGACCAGACAAAAGTTTCCACGGTTATCATATGTAGCCATGGCCACCTTACAACCAAATTCATTATAAGCTGTCTTGTCATGTGCTTTGGACTTACACATGTTATCATTCTAGCTATCACAAAAAACAATGCTAAAAGCCATTAATAGTGTTTAATTACACATGTTATCATTCTAGCTATCACAACAAATAATGCTAAAAGCCATTAATAGTGTTTAATACACATGTCTCAAATATTTTTGTCATATATATATATATATATATATATATATATATATTCAGAAACCACTCAAGGAGATAAAAGTAGATGGGCGCTATTCTAGCTCCAAATTTACTTGGATGAAATTATATGCCATGCCACTGAAATCTAAAAACTTTAGATTTACACCGATGAATATAAATAAATTAGGTATTTTAATATATACCACTTGGTAGAATAAATGTCAAGATGGCATAATATGACTTGACAATTCTGGGTTTCTCTCATTTACTTGTGCATTTGCAAACAAATAATAATAATTGGTCCTGTGTGAATGCAGATGGGGTGGGTTTTGAATGAAGTGATTAGACTATACCCTTCAGCGCCAAATGTGCAAAGGCAAGCGAGAGGAGACATTCAAGTGGGAGAAACAACCATCCCAAACGGCACCAACATGTGGATTGACGTAGTTGCCATGCACCACGACCCGGCTCTGTGGGGCGAGGATGTAAACGAATTCAAGCCACAGAGATTCAAGGACGACATCTTTGGAGGCTGCAAACACAAGATGGGCTATTTGCCTTTTGGGTTTGGAGGGAGAATGTGTGTTGGTAGGAACTTGACCTTCATGGAGTACAAGATTTTCTTAACCCTTATTCTCTCTAGGTTTTCTTTTACGCTTTCTCCAAATTATCGTCATTCTCCCGCTATCATGCTATCCTTGAGGCCTACACAAGGGCTGCCTCTCATACTCCAACCCCTGTAGCCTAATTTGATTGTGCCCTTATATATTCTTTTAGTTTTAGGATAATTTTTAAAAATATCCCGCCCTCCTTTTATTTCTACCTTTAATATTAGTCTATATTTTTTTACCTTTTAAACTATAACTAGTTAAAAGATAGAATTTTTTAAAAGTTCAGAAGGGATATTTTTAGTAAGTCATCTGCTTAAGACAGTAGAAGGGATATTTTTAGTAAGTCATCTGTTTAAGGCGGTAGAATCTGTAATTTTCTAGGTAAAAATTAGGGCCTAATCTTATCAAGAGAGTTTGAGCCTATAAGCATTGTGCGGGAAAAAATAAATTCTAAAATGAAATTTCTTAAAGTCGAGGATGTTCATTACTTGTTTTGTTCTCATAATTAAATGGAAGATATGTGCCACAACTTAAATATGCCCTCTTTGTTGTAACATAAAGATGACCCACTTGAGGCCATCCTTGTTCCCATCAACTTTAAAGCACCACCAGAAAATTTGTAAATTTTCCTTAAATGTTCAAAAGAAAAAATAAGTATAATTAAACCTCTAATCGATATGGGTTTTGTGAAGCAACGTAATTAACCCTCGAATCGATGAGGAAAAAAAAAATCACAAGGCTTTCCTTTCCCTTTTTGACAGAGTTATTCTAGCTTTGTACGCATCAATTTTGATGTCATAACAGGACAAATAAGAGTGCTCTTGAACTGATATAGTAGATATTCACATGGCCTTATCTTTCATATAATCTTACACAAGTATAATCTGTTTTTCATTATTTGCATTTAATTTCTGCTAAATTAGAAAGAAAGGGATTGCAGGAAAGAGAGCCTTCCTCCCAACAAAACATGTTTTATTTCTTTTTTGTTCCCCCTTTGTTAGGAAAGTAATCGAGCCGTCAAATTCAAACAACACTTTCCGCTAAAACCAACAAAATTCTTCTGAATTTATCTAAATTCTCTCTCCCTCCCTCTCTCAAAGGGCCCAGCTGTTGGTTGGAAGGTCTTCATTCTAATTCTCTCTCTCTCTCAAAGGGTCCAGCTGTTGGTTGGAATGTCATCATTCTAACTCTCTCTCTCTCTCTCTCTCAAAAGACCCAGTTGTTGGTTGGAATGTCATCATTCTAACATCTAGAATCATAATATTAGAATTATTTTTTATTTATGTGTATTTTTTATAAGAGAAAATATTGTACGAATCATAAACCGTAATTCGAATCAGAATACGAATCTCCTTACCAAATCGGCCATTAACAGATCCACTTATGAACACTATTAGATGTTATAGCTCTTTACCTGCATGAAACGCAAGCATATACAAGGAGTGAACCATGTAAAAGAAAAGTCAAAGGGAAAATCCTATTAACGCATTCATTCACACATCCAGCAATTTCGGGTTTTGACAAGAAAATAAGATCACATTTGGAGCAAAGGAACAGAAAAAATATATATATATAATAATAATAATAACTAACTAATTATGCGAAGGTTTACCATGAACCATAAACTTATTATTACGATTTCAGCATTATAGCACCAGATCATTATCAAATGATTATCAAGTACGCTAATCTTTGGGTTTTTTTTTTAAAGACAACGAAGAGTACCAAAAGAGAGGGCTTTCACTTGTTATGATAACAACTATCCTTGAAGAAACCAATAGTAAAATGGACCTAGCACCTGAGCCGCTTATTGAATGATTACGCGACTCAAATATAATTGAGCAAATGTTTAAAAAAGTGGTAGGTTTGCGGGGAAGCGCACGTGCATCCACTCTTTCTCGTACTTCACCGCATGCAACCAACCAATCTCCTCCAGCAAAGAGAGCTTTAACTCAAACAGCTTCTTCTTGGGAGGCTCCCCATTATCCTGAATCAAATCATTCGCCACCTACGCCAGGAAGTGTGAAGCCGGTCATAAAAAGTGAGTCATTAGCAAAATCTAATATATGTAATGAAAAAAAATATATATTTCAGGTTTGAATCTAATCATTTCAAAGCAAAGGCTACATGAACCACCGGGTTTGACCATGAAAGCCCACAGGGTTACAAATGCCCCTTTTCTCAATAAAGAATATACTTTCCAATGAGAGTAGCAGGAGAATGATGTGTTTGCAAAGATCACAAATCTTTAAAAGTTGTTTATTACAATTTACATAGAACTGTGATAAACTCGTTGAAACAGGATAAACAGTGTGTCAAGGGTAATAAACTCTGTCTATGAGCCTAACGGTTAATGATTTAACATTGGCAAGAAGGCTAACCACGGTTCTCACCCCAAAAAATAATTATAATAATTGACTTCAGGTTTAAATGTTCTATCCATTGCGTACTATTATCGGTAAGATAAGGTGTGGTATAGTGTATTAGAATACGCAAGACTGGCAAGAAAAAAAATACCTTCAGTGCCGTTCCAAGCCTTCCACAACGTCTTTCACGTATCACTAACAGGGTTCCATATTTAGACTTCACATCAACCCATTTCTTCAGTTCTTTGAAGTTCTCTTCAAACAGGTCAGGCTGGTCACCAGAGTCTGGTTCAGAACGATCAACAGTCTTCTCCGCATCCTTTGCTCCAGATGCAACCAAATCTTTACTCTTCTCAGCCTGTGAGTTAATAGTAAGTAGGTTTTAGTCTCAACTAAAGACAATTCAGGCATACTGATTGGATCAGAACTATCTGGCAAATACTTCAAGAACTATATGCACTAAAACGGGGTATTTTGGGATAAAATTTATGTTATTTTTAAATTATGTGTCTATATACCGGTTAATGAATTACAGAAAGAGGGTGGTGGTTTTCAAACTTAAAACCGGTGGCTGTCTGTATACAAGAACAGATGTTAGAAGCTTAAAAAAGGACACTTGGTAAATGGTAAGGAAAGGTGTCCAAAGCTTGCTTCCAGAAGGACGGCAACAATGCAATGTGGCAGCAACCATTTCTTATGGAATTCCCTCACTAAATTTAGCAAATGCCCATTGAATCAATGGGCTTTTTGGAAGATTTCTAGGTGAAGGAGCTTCCACAAATGCTAGCCTACACAGCCATTATGGAGACACATTCCAGCAATAGTAATTCAGCCATTCTCCCATTCTCTCATAATACATGAAGTCTCTTTCTATTTCTTTTCTTCTAAAAATAGGATCCAAAAATTTTCTTGTTTCCTATTTTCATTTTAATCACTTTCTAAATCCGGATTTTACATATCATCTCCTTCCTCTCTCTTTTCCTACATAGCCATTGACCTATTCTTTTGCTCTCAATTTCTTTCTTCCTTCCTCTATTTTCCTTCAAAGTACATAAATTTCTCTCAAATGCAAAGGCTATTGAACTACAACCCCAAACTGCAACTTACGTTTGTGTTGTATTCTTATTTGTCTCCAATAATGTTCTAGTTCTTTATATTTCTTTTTACTTTTTAGCACTTTATTTTTTTAGCAATTTATTTTATGTTCATTTAAATTTTGTTATTCTCCAGTCAATTGGCCCCCATTTTATTTTCAGTTATTTAGTTTCCGTAAATTAATCCAGTTAGTTGGTCCTGTCATTTATTTTCCAATTCCAATTAGTTGGTCCTCTCATTTATTTAATCCAGTTATCCGGTCCCCATTTATTTAATTATCTAACATCCTAGCTTTTTATGCCTATCATTTTTTAACTATCTATAGTTTGATTGTTCCTAAATATTTATTGGGAATACTCATCAGCACTCCGGCTAAGTTATGAAGAAATGAACCTAAAATCCTACATCCACTGAGCTTGGTTAGTAATTGCATCCAGAAAGTGCACCAATGTATTAGGAACTCATGATCTCTCATGGTTTAGAAAGCAATGCGTGTTAATTCATATATGGAGTAACAAAATATCAGAACAAATTTGGGAACATATCTTAGTATTATACCAGAACATGGGAGGAGGTCAATGAGAACTACACTCCAATTTCACCTCGGAAAACAGAGTATCTCCTAAATTAACTATTTATTTATATAAAATGACTCAACAATTTTCACTCACTTATATACTATTATCAAGCAAATTTTCTTATGATTTACATGTTCATGGCAATTCCAAATGTAAAACTTTTCTCAGTTCCAAAAACATTTGTGATTGCTATGTCACTTATCAATCATCTTATATTTCCTCTTGCTGCAAGTACAAAAGGTTAGCATCAAGCATGTAATGATGAAAGTACTAGAAACGGATATAAACTGGTCCAAACTCTAAAGATTCAATTTAGTTATAAAAAAAAATTAAAATTTTCATTCTCTTATATATTATTAAATGTAACTTTTCTTATGATTTACATGTTCATGGCAATTCCAATTGTAAAACTTTTCACAATTCCAAAAACATTTGTGATTGCTATGTCACTTATCAATCATCTTATATTTTCTCTTGTTGCAAGTATAAAACGTTTGCATCAAGCATGGAATGATGAAAGTACTAGAAACGGATATAAACTGGTCCAACCTCTAAAGATTCAATTTCCGCCAATGCCAATCCTTTCTGGTAGAATGCTTCTACTAACTGATCACGGGTGGTCTCCATCTTTTTCCTGGTTTTCTGCAAGAAAAACAACTGCTAAATAAAACCAATCTGGAAACTAAGAAAAATGCAAAATATTGGAATTTGACTCTCTTAAGAGAATCCCACAGATATTTTTCTTTTCAGAAGCAGACACATACCTCTGCCTCCTCATCTTCAGGATCAGTTTTCAGAGCAAAAAAATTTACTAACTCCTCTTTGTCAATACTATCCACAACATCATTTGATGCAGCAATAACCTGCACGGAAGAACTCAGATAACTAGTGAATCAAAATTAAGTAAATGGTAGATTAGGAACTTAATTCTCTGTAAATCCAATTATACTAAAGGGTCATATGCTAACACACAAGCGACTGACCTTTTCATTGTGGGAGATTTTATCCTCAATATTGTTTCGAGAAAGCAAACCTTCCAATATCTTTGAAAGAAGTGGAGTGTAATCTGGATATTCAGACTGCCAGATAATAGAAGGTACACATGAGTTTCAACAGCTCGTGCATACTAACAACACTAAGGGCTTGTTCTTTTGAGTGAAAAACTCAAAAAATGCAACTTGAATTACAATTTTATTTGAGTTTATGTTTTTTTAAGTTTGAACTCGAATTTGAACTCAAGTTCAAACTCGAGTTTGGGACTAAAACTCGAGTTCAAGTTTCCCCTTCAACTCGAGTTCAGAAACTCAAACTCAAATTAATGAACAGTGTTTTTTATATTCTTACAAATGCTATAACTTTTTCGTTTTAATTCTGATTGAGATGATTTTTTTTCTATGCATTGACAACGAAAAGACGAATAAAACCTCACTCATATACCCTATTAAAATTTTCCATCAGTATTGAGTTTTTATTAAAATACTATCTAAATATAAATTCAAGTTTTGACTCACTCAAACACAAACTCAAAAAGATTCTTATCTCAAATGTACACAACCAAACACAAACTCAAGTTATAACTTCAACTCAAATTATAACTCAAATTCAACTCAAGAATTATACTCAAGTTAAACTCCAAAAGAACAAGCCCTAAATTTTAAATACAGATACTTAAATTTCAAAAGACTGAAGCAGATCGTTTTCTTCTTCAAACTGTGATATTCAAACTGAAAAAAGTAAGGGCTTGTTCTTTTGAGTGAAAAACTCAAAAAAAGACAACTCGAGTTACAACTTTATTCGAGTTCATGTTCTTTTAAGTTTAAACTCGAGTTCAAACTCGAGTTTAGGACTAAAACTCGAGTTCAAGTTTCCCCTTCAACTCGAGTTCAGAAACTCGAACTCAAATTAATGAACAGTATTTTTTCTATTCTTAAAAATGCTATAACTTTTTCGTTTTAATTCTGATTGAGATGATTTTTTTTTTCTATGCGTTGACAACGAAAAGACGAATAAAACCCGACCCATATACCCTATTAAAATTTTTCATCAGCATTGAGTTTTTATTAAAATACTATCTAAATACAAATTCAAGTTTTGACTTACTCAAATACAAACTCAAAAAGATTCTTATCTCAAACCATAACTCAAATGTAAACAACCAAACGCAAACTCAAGTTACAAGTTCAACTCAAGTTATAACTCAAATTCAACTCAAGAATTATACTCAAGTTAAACTCCAAAAGAACAAGCCGAATCTCATATCAGACCTAACCGCATACTTGACCCGTGTTTGAAAATTCTAAACAAATCTTAACCGTACAGAGCGGAGGAAAGTAAGCTTAACTAAAGATCATCAGTGGCCAAACAGACAATTTTTGATCAAAGGATAAACATTTAATTTATATCATAAGTCATGATAATATAGATTCAACCTTCAGTGAGACACAGAACTTTTCCCATTCTGAGCGTTCTTCGTCTGTGTCTTGCTTTAGGCTCGCAAGAACCTTTATCTTGGCATCTCGAACCTTGTAGAAAGAATATAAATTGTCATTATTGATAAGAAAGAGAGCTTTCTTCATTATTGATAAGAGAGCTTTATTTTTTTCCCTTTACTATAACATAATTGTTGAACAATCATTTAGGTAAATGTCTTAAGAAGGTTGACATATGGAAATATGTTCGAACCAAGACCTATAAGAAACCTTCTCCTTTTTTTCCTACCCGTGATAGGAAAAAAAAATGCAAACAAAATATCATTTAAAAATATTACTCTAATGGATGCCCTCACACCTCTTCTTCTATGCGTTCAGGAATAGATTTGGTGCAAGTTGGAGAAGAACCTTTTCCCTTGTCCTCATCAAGCTGTCGAAGAAAATATGGACAGGAACTTTGATTAGATTAGAAGAATAGTGCCATCAGTCAAAATAATGCCGTCAGTCACATTAGCACATATATGATGATATCTTAAGACAGAAACAAAATGAACTGTGGCATAATTATAAAAGCCGATCTCTTACAACCTTATTTGGTGGCACTATATAAGAAATTTGATGAGAGACGGGGTTCTTTCTTGGGTTTCTCCCCTCTCCATCCCCAAAGTATGATAGCTTTCCATATGAGATTGCTCCCAACAATACAGATCCTTGCTGACAACTCTGCAGAAACTTCACAAGTGTTATGAAGACTATTGCACTTTCATCTAAGAGAAAACTGCAGAGATTATAATACCTTAAGAGAAAACTGCAGAGATTATAATACCTTCGGAAGCTTGTCTTTAGATGGTGGGCCGACATAAAATGCTTCTTTTTCCCTACCCATGAGATACCAATATTTATTCAGTACGAAATTGTAAAAAATATATAAAAGTGAATTATACAAATAGGTTGTTAAGAGACATACCCAGGAACCAAAACTGATGATTTGAAACTACCATTTCCCATCAAAGGGCCATCAGGTTGAGAGAAAAAGCTCAATCGAAGTACTTCCTGTATGAGATAGAAAGAAGAAGAGTTCTTTAGAGGCAATCAGTGTACAAATGCTTCACTGATAATAAGATATAACCTATATTGACATTTTTAACTCGTATGTCTCACAGTAAGGGTTATGGATTTCTGTATAACCAGATGGAAAGAAAAGAAATGATTCTAATTTTTGTACATGAAAACTGAGAAATCAGAAGACAAAATAATGCATAATTTACAAATGTAAGATTATAAACCTTTTCCTGAAAGCGTCCTAGAAAATATCAAAAAGAGAATTATCTATCCTAGAGTACCTACCTTCTCTTCCAAATTTCTTTCAATAAACAACACTAACTGCTTCAGTTTTTCCAGATATTGAACATTGTCATGCCTGCAACAAGAAAAAAGATGGAGAAAAAACTTTTAATAATCAATCGACTTCCACACTCATAAACAAGCCAGGGTAGGTATAAAAAAAAAAAAAAAAAAGAAAGAGAGAGAGAGAGAGAGAGATAAGAAAGTAGTTAATGACAATAGGTGGTACTCAAGAATCCTTTGAAAAAATTAACGTCATAAATTTAGACTAAATTGACGATCAAATCAAAACAGCAAAAGAGTCTTGTAGCAGTTTAATATTGGCTCGTGTCCTAGTTTTGTGCTGTGAAAGGAAGAATATACCTTAAATATAGCTGTAAGTTGTACTCTCCCTTGGGAAGTTTTGAAGAATTTGGATAGACATCACCCATCGCATGTACACGCTATAATCGGAAAAGACAAAACGAAACAAAAAATTGTGCTACCTTAAATAGCCGTGGAGATGGATACATCACTATCTAATGCAGACCATTTTCTGTTTGTACAGACAAAAAACTAACATTTCGAGATGGATTTGAATAGGTAAATCCATCTTTGGCAAAATTGAAAGGATGAGCAACCGTAGAATTCATATCTTAGAGAAATTGATTGGTAAACAGTACCTTGTTTGGGTCAGAAATCATATAAAATTGAGACTCGAACTTAGTGTCATATATACGATCGTTGAGTAATGGAATGGAAGGTTTTACTTCAGCTCCATCTTCTAATTTGAACTTGTAACTGTAGAAAAGAAGAAGCAAGAGAATCGTGTTTACCAAACCATAATGGAATGTAATGGGTTTGGAAATAAAAGTAAAGGAATAAGAATAAGGATCATATTGATTTCCTTATTAGAAGGTGGAATGGGAAAATCCCTTTCCGTTTCTACTGTTTACTGAACTGAGGTATAAGAATCGTATCAATGTAATTACTAAAATGTCCTTTGCACAATTAGATAATCATCGAATATATAAGTAACTTTGGCATTCATTCCCTTAATTGAGAATCAATATTGGGGGTGTGCAAGGATCAGGTATTCCCATTTCTCGTTCCCTATATTGCATGGGGCCGACAAAACTACCATTCCTAATTTTATAAGTGGGCACACGAGTAAATGGTAAGGGGTCACACTTCTCCTTTTCCCTTTCCCTTTCACATTAGAACGCATCCTTAAGGGTCCGTCTGGTAGGAGGGATGGATTGATTGGAGATGAGGGAAGGGGAGTTGGAAGGAAGGGAGGACGGATTGCGAATATCCTCTTAAGTTTTGGTATGATAGGAAGGAAAGATTGTGATTGTTTATTCTCTTGATTGGTATTGAAAAGAAAGGAGGGATGGATTTAATTTTATTAGTAAAATTCCGAGTTCCCCCTTGTCATAGATAGTAGAAATAATTAGATTTGTTTTATTTTTTATTCTCTAAATACTAATTTGATTTTTTTTAATCAATAGGCGGTCAAAAAGTTAATATAAATTGTTGATGATGGGATGTTAATACAGATTGTTTGTATATATGTATATATGTATAGTATCTATATAAATGTGTATATACTGTACGTTAGTGTGTAAATATTGCATATAATATATTTTATTGTTGTGATGTTAGGATTAATATTATTTTATTTTGTTAGGAAACAAAGTTTCACTAACGTGGTTCACTGGGGACTTTCAAGGCATTCTAAGTTAATCTCACAAATCGTCTCTGAGGTTACCCTCAATCCCACTTAGTCCCTGACTTTTAAAACGTCTCACAGTTGGTCCCTGGCATTTTGTTCTGTTTCAGTTTTGGTCCTTCCGTTAACTAGGTCTTAAATATTTGATGAAATCTCTGTAAATTAAGGACCAAAGTTAAAAACAACTAACTTTTAGGGACTTATGGATTAATTTTTATTTTTTGTATTGTTGTAGTCTCTAAACTTTTAGACGTTTCTAATTTTGATCCCTAATTTCAATATATTCCATCAAATATTTAACACTTAGCTAATAGAAGGATCAAAACTAAAACAAAGTAAAACCTCAAAGACTAATTGTGGGACGTTTTAAAAGTTGGGGGTCAAAGTGGAATTGAGGTCAAACCTCAGGGACCATTTGTGAGATTAACCCTTAAAATATTGAGATTCTTTTGGGAAATTTGGAAGTGTACAAGGTTAATATGGGAAGTGCGAGATCTTTTTTCTCCAGCCCACTCCAATCCATCACATGATGGGAGGATAAGTTTTTGTGGGCCCCAAAGGATTCTCAATCCCTAGCTCCTCCCCCTCCTCCCGTCCATCCATCCAACAAAACAACGTTAATTCTTACTTTCCACCCTCCAATCCCTCCCTCCTTCCATCCTCCCTACCAAGCAGACCCTAAGTGTTGTAAGAATAAGTTAACCAAATGAAGTAAATAAATAAAATCAAACAATGACCCACGTTAATTTCAGTGCTAGAGTTTGTTTGCCTGAGGGTAGTCTGTCCCGATCTGCTGCAAGAGTCGAAAGCTTAGCTTCAATTGGACGGTATGGAATTCTAACCTGCAGAATGGACAAAAGAGAAAGGAATTTTCCTCTATTAGAGCACAAACAACTGCACTAGAATAAAACAACAAAATAATCTATGGACTAACTTAACCTTGTTTAGAATGGCAGCAGGTGCAAGTTTTTCAGATACAATTAGAGCTTCAGCATCAATTCTAACTGGGGCTTCACTTCCATCAAGTAAAACTTCCTCCTTATTGATGTTAATTCCATGAAATGCAATCTAAACATGAAACATAAATCGTAACACCACATGTAGGGACACTAAGTCCTGATATCTGATTCGATTGGGAAAATATAAATAAAACAGAAAGAATCAACCAAAATCAGAGTGAAAGAAAATTATGAAATCTTATAAACATTTGGTAAACACGGAAACACAAAATTGATTAAAAAAAAAAAACCCTTAAAATCCCTTTCTTATTTGCACATAACATAAATGCAAATTTTTATGTTAGAAAGAGAATAGTTCTAAAGCCGAAGACCTTTACCAGTAACTAATCCATTTTTTTTACTTGATTGAACAAGGCCTCAAAATACTGAAATTGAAATGTATCGGACGGCTAAAGATGAAATTTATCAGTCTACAAAGTATAACATGTCACTATTAGCTGAGATGAATTTAAATTGAAAAAAAAAAACAAAAAAAAAAAAGCAAAAAGCAAAACAAAAACAAAAACAAACAATCAAACAAAACAAGAACCACACCTCAAAATCTACAATAGCTGTTTCATGGCTTCCCATGCCACTAGACCAGAACTGAGCTATAGCTAATTCCATTGTCTGACCAGCTACAACAGGAAAGGAAAAGTTTTTGGCAGAAGGAGAAGAGAATGTTACAACGCTCTCCCACTTAATAGGCCTTTTCAGGGGGCAAAGCTGAACAAAGCAGGCAATGGACTTGTTAGAGCAAAACTAGAACATCATAAAAAAATGATCTTTACACCTATACCTGGACAGTGTCGACAAAAAATCTACGAGTTGTATCAAAGCCAGATGCTCGCATGGTTGCTTCAACCCAAGTAGCACCTATAGGGACCTCTAGGAATTTCCTCTCTATGCGGCCTAACCAAGTAGAATTTCAAAGAAAGAGGAGGTATCAGGTCTCAAAACTGAAGACCAGATATCCAATGCTTCCCACAGAATGAGCAAATTGCACAATGGAACATCGAAGAATAAAAATGTAGGCTATGAGAAAAAGAACATAAAGCCAATCAGCACTATATACCTGGTATGAAAGACATCCTAGAAAATGTGACGACTGGGGGACGATTGATTACAGCCTTAGGCTTGGTTATGGTAATTGGTACTCTAAAAAGAGGACCCCGCCAGGGTGCTTTACAGTCAATCCCATAGACTTCATAATAGTGCAGTCCTTCACTAAGATAGGTAGGATCCACTACTACACTGGAGAAGGGGGGAAGAAATGCATCAGAACATGTAAAATACAAATAGTATTAGGTGTGGCTTGATAAAACCGAAGAGCACTGACTACAACAAAATATAAATGAGAATACTCGATAGAAGGAAAGAAAAGAAAATATACCACATTAGCCATTTAAGTTAAAAGACAAATAGCTTAAAGGGACATTTCATTAACCTACTTCATACAATCAGCATAATCTCAAGCATTAGGCCGGAGATGACCTCAAAACCCACGTTTAAAGAACTATTTCTACAACTAGAACTACGGGACCCCAGTAGACCTCAATTCACAGCCCATTTGCATCTTTTCTTTGTAGCATGAAATCCTTCGAAAATAAATAAATAAAACTCTGTCATCAACTTCAAACGCCAAAAATAAATGTGTCTGCATGAAGATGCACGAATGGGCTGAACCACTGATGTTGTGGTTTGTTCTAATTACAGTTGTTAAGACAATGATATAAGGATTAATATGGCTTGCTAGAAGCTTCATTATATGGACAAACAATAACAAGAAAAATATACCAGTTTTGAACATATATGCCAACATGTAAATAAGAAATCATATGTTAAAGAGTGGTAACTAACTTGAAGCTACGCCCATTATGTGTAAGAAGAAGATACTCTGGAGCCCTCACAATCGCTTGATCACTTGAATGTAACTCAATGCAGTCCTCAAAAGGAACCAATTCATCTAAATTACTTGCATCTTCATGAAATTTTGGTTCAACTTGCACTGTCCACTGCCAAGAATAAATGAACACCAATTAGAGTAGAATAAATTTCAGTTAAAAGCCAAAAGAAAAGCTTTGTAAAGCCTTCATTAGAAAAACCGAGAGAGAATAAATGCACCACTAACTAAGCCAGGGAAGAAACCACAATCTGAACAGCCATGCAGAATGACAGAGTGATATATATAGGATGTAACTGCAAACTCTCACCAATTATAAAAGCTGTAGCTGATGTCATTTTGGATGAATAATTCAATGTATGAAAGAAATGATATTAAAAGCATGCTACCAGGCATGTATTAAGGAAAAATAAATAAATTTTGATTATGCATGCTAGAATACAAAATCACTCTCAAAGTCCAAAAATTTGATCAACAATGTTACCTCGCTAGACTGTTGGCAAGCACTGGGCTCTCTTAAATAGATACCTCGTGATACAGGAGCTGCAGTTAAATCAACAACATAAATTCAACACTCAACATTTTTCCTTCAACATAGGTTGAACGTAAGAGGAGCTTGTAAATAACCAACTCAGTGCAGGACACGTCGGCTCTGTGGACTTGGTACAAAAATTTTGTAAAAAAATCATAATAATGATAATAAGGGTAACAATTCTATCCAAGACAGCGCCATAACAAAAGAAAAATTCACACATTTTTAGCCATTCAGAATACAGATTATGAGAAAAGTATTATAACATACAAGAAATTATGTTAGGCATATTACATAATCTAGCAAATATCAGGGACGTGATAGTCAACAGCAACTCCTTTAGTTCTTATTACAAGAAAAGATGGATCATGCTAAACTTACTTGATTTTCCAGATTGAGCTACCTTTATTTGATACCAAACAGATGGTATATTCCTGGACTGTCGTAAATATTCATGTGCCCTGTGACTCAACAAGATGTACAAATAAGTTCAAATTCCAAAAAGCTCAATTTAGAAGGTCCAGAGCACAAACGCGAACCTGTCAACTTGCATAAGTCCTTCTCCAGTGGATAATTTATCTTCTGGTAAAATACCTATAGAAACACATGTATTTTCAAGAGCTTTCCGTACACTGTAAGGACTGACAGGGATACCCTCAGCCTGCAAAGGATTCAATAGATTCAGCATATGGAATCAAAGAAAAAACAAAGTAGAGATAACGGTCTCAACAAACATGACAAATACACCAACAATGCATACCTTCAGTGCGCTTACAAGCAATGCAATTCCACCACAAGCAGATGGGGAGGACATTGATGTTCCATTCATGAGCATACGACGCTGGAGGGTCCATGTAGGAACAGGAGCAACAGCCCCGCCAGGAGCACTTATGCAAACACCAACATCTCCATCAGCAGTTGGTCCTCGACTGGACCTGCATATTATTTATAGTTCAGAATCAAACCAGAAACGCATCCCAAGGCAGCAGAGCTTAAATATCTATATTTATGGGCCAAAATCAGAGAATTGAGGTGTACTTACCAAGTATATTCTATCCCTTCAGGTGGAGGCTCAACAACAGAATGAGCACCAGCAGCCATTTCTGGGGAGACATACGCGCCAACTCCTATAATGGTGGAAGTGGTACCACCAGGTGCTCCAACAGTGCTCAAAGCAGGACCACTGTTAGCAGCACTACTCACAAATATCAGACGATGCTTGTTTACAACCTAACCAAGAATGTCAAATAGCATGTTTGAGAGAGTGAAAGTTAATAGATGGAAAAATAAGATAATCATCTCAGCCAAAATCACAGATCCATGAATGTTACTTCATTAACAAGGTCAACAAAGCGCCCATAGTCTGGTAGCAAAGTAGGTTCCCCATAACTCATGTTGATAAGATCACATTTATGCTGCAAAAGGAACGAGTATAAGAGCCATCAAAAAATTATTTAGATCAAACACCAGAAGTTTCCTATGCATTTTACACGCGCTCGTGCACGCGCTTTTGCATCCGCTCATGCACAAAGGTACACATGCATGCAACTAATAACGCTGATTCCTAAACAAGTAAAAACGCACATCATCAACAAATGTTGGTAATCTCAAAATTTCAAATCAAAACAAAACGAAGTGCTTATCACCTCAACAGCAGCTATCAAAGCTCGAGTTAGACCAGTTCCAGTCTCCATTGAACCTAAGCGTGAGTCACCAATTTTACAAGATATCAATTGTGCCCCAGGTGCAACTCCATTCAACAATGGCTCCTAATATCCACCACATAAATCAAGACGGAGATATTTTTTATCATACAAAATACTATGGCAAACAGACAAAATTCATTGTACCTTTGGATGGAAAGCACTAGTGATACCAGCAACATGAGTCCCATGAGGGGAGCTATCTGTTACAATACTTAAGATATTGCCCTCATCATACACGTTAACAACAAAGGTACATGCATCTAATTTGCTAAACACACCATACTTCCGTTCAATCCTGTATGGGTAGTTTTACATAATCAGTTAAACACTTATCCGAAGCTCCATGATCAACTAAATAATGCAACATTTAGAGAGTGAAAATATTTAAAAAGAAAAAACACCTCAATAACACAATGGAAAGACATGTTTTTCATGCATGCTTTGAAATATATTTTCAGGGGCCACAAATATATGATCTTCCTGACCTTCTCTCTTTTGATTATCTTTCCAAGAAACAAACTCAACTTTCTAGATTAAAAATAAAAGGCAAAAACTATATCATATTCCAAGGAGGAAGTTTCAACTGATCAGCATGATCAACACCTTCACAAGACTAAATATTCTCATACAATTAGATTTTCTAATATAAAATATCTTTCAATATTCTCCCTGCTTCATTCACATCTGGGGAGAATTAAGCATATAATGTCACTAAGAAGCAGATACCTAAAATTGGTAAGGGGCGCAAAATCAGCAAGTTTTCCACAATCTGGGTCATCCTCAAGACTCTGTGTGTCCAAGGCAACCCTCCATACTTCTCCATCATGCCAGACAACAGCATCTATAACAGGCCCTTTGTCATCATAGCTCTAGAACATAAAAAATATCAAACATTAGAGCAGAAACGGAATTCAACAACCGTAAGTGATAATTTGGGACCTTACCTCAGCTTGCTTTCGCAGATAATCAACTCTGTTCTGGAGGTCCTCACGGACTCTTTTCAGGTTTATATCATCAGTTTTGACGTGTTTCTGTAAATAGAAAATCATAACAAATCAAACTTCAATATAGACATCTAAAAAACCTTAACTACATGTTCAAATGCCATGCAAGCATCAATAACAGGTCATTTTTTCTACTTTAGTTAGTCAGGATAACTTATGGATTGCTTACATAAGTTCCTAAGCACTTCCACCACCTCATGTAATAAGGTCGATAGGTCATGAGAGTCACTTTTATGATACGAGATATTATTTAGGCCCCGTTCATTTCGCTGATCCGAGTTTAGAATTCGAGTTTTGCTACAGTAAAAAGCTCTCACAAACAGTCACGTTTAACCTTTTTGTTACAGTAAAAAGCTCTCACATAAAATCACATCTCAACTCAAATTAAAAACTCGAATCAGCGAACTAAACGGGCCCTTAGTATGAATGAACAGACAATACATTTTGACTAATATTTTCCTTCGGTTTCAACCAAACAACAAGGACACAAATTTGTAGACACAGTTCATTTGAGATCTTGACAACAATGATAGATCAACAGTTTCAAAAGTTCAAGATGCTGTTAGCCAAAACTTTGAAATCCACAGGTAATGTCCTAATCAAAAGTCAAAATCTCTCCAGCAGTCCACCTTACTGGTACTACAAAGAGACAACATAAATACTATTCAGCTAAAGCAGTGGAGTTTGAAAAACAATAAAACTGAGTACCAAGACTAATACAGAAATCAATAATAAATAAAAAGTGAAAGTACTAGAAAAAGGGCGAGTTGATGGGTGATAATTCTGCACATAAGAAAGACAGAGATTTTGATATACTAATTAGACTTAAATCCAGCAACACACCCACCCCCACCACACACACACACACACACACACACACACAAAACAAAACAAAAAAAAAAGGTCAAAATACATTCTTAATAAATTTCAAAACGAAAAACAGATAATGCCCCATTGATATGCACTTTCAGATCCGATGCACGTTTAACCAGTCAAGCGTGAAACTAAAAGACAGGATGTTCAGAAACCTGATCAAATTCATCAAGACGCTTAACGGCCTTAGCAATTTCTTCCTGATTTTGTTCATCCCATTTTTTCTTTCTCTCCTCCTGTCAAGGAACAAATAAAAATAAAGACAGAAAATGTAATCATAAAACTTTATGATTCTTGAGATATCTAGTGATGTTCATCTGTGGATCATGAAATGAAAATGATTATGCTAATTACCTTCAAACGGTTAGTCAATTTATCCGTAAACAATTCATATATCAATTTATAACCCACATGCCATTCGCCAGACGGGTTCTTCCATGAAGAATTGACAACCAAAGAAGCCCCTATTTGAAAACTTGATCAAAACCAGAGCATAACATTTTAACGAAACAAAAACATAGTAAAAAAACTTAAAATAAACAAAACACAGTAGCATGATTGCTTGGACTCCAATAGTTCATATATTATCATATAAATAAAGCACTGAAATTCTAAAAGAAAACAAATCATTGGTTAAAATTCATCAAATTAACCTGAAACTCCCCGGATACAGCCATTCGCATCGGCCTTAACCACCTTCGAAGTATCAATATCTCCACTCCCGGTGCTGAAAAGTGAAAAATTTATCCGGCTAAGTACCCATTTCCCATTTCAAAAGATGAACTTTATGCTCAATTAGTTACTAATCGAAGCTACCAATCAATGACATCTAGGATTTTCGGCTTCCCATCTGACGTAACTTGTAATCCAGCCGCCGCCGGGTCCACTCCAGAATCTAAAATCAATCAATCATACTCCAAAATATAAAAAATAAAAAATAAAAAAATCAATCCGAAACAAAACTTTCCTCACTCTTCTGTTCTCTTCCTCAACTTCTCCGAAACCGAAAAAAAAAATATATATATATATCTAGGATTTTCGGCTTCCCATCTGACGTAACTTGTAATCCAGCCGCCGCCGGGTCCACTCCAGAATCTAAAATCAATCAATCATACTCCAAAATATAAAAAATAAAAAATAAAAAAATCAATCCGAAACAAAACTTTCCTCACTCTTCTGTTCTCTTCCTCAACTTCTCCGAAACCGAAAAAAAAAATATATATATATATATCTCGTCTCATTTTCACTTGTCGAGAGAGAGAATGCATCGATCGGAGAGTACCGAAAATGGCGATGACGACGCCGCGGCCGTCGTAGTGGGGGTGAGCTTCGAGGAAGCGATCGGCGCCAATCTCCTTCTTAGGCATGAGGGAAGCCAGGAACGTTGACTCGCTCAGCTTGAATTTCCGCAGCGAACCATTATCGTCTCCACCACCACAGCCAGGCATTGCCCAAACCTTAACACTGTCACTACCACCACCACCACCACCACCACTACTACTACTACTTCTACTCCTCTTGCTGCTACTGCTTCTGCTTCTACCTGGTCTTCTTCTCCACTCACCGTTTCTTCGTCTTCGCGTATTGGGTCGGTTTATAAAAAGCGACAAATGTGGCGGTAAAAGAGTCAGCGGTGACGGGGGTACTGACGGTAATTTGACTATTAATAACCCCCCGTGTTGCATTTTTTTCGAAACCTTTTTTCTATAATTCGTGTGGGGCCAGTGACTTGGTAGGGGTGTTTTGGTAACTTAAGGTTTGGGTGACGGACGTGGTGTTAAGGTGTTGGGCTTGGAAGTGCTCCGACTCTGGCAGCTAAGCAGAGCGGTGCTTTGGGAGTTGAAGGATGAGATGGGCGGGTTTGGTTGGCTATGGTTTGGGTGGGGTGATGGATTTTGTGCGGTGAAATTACTGGACTTGTCTGGGTGGTTTTGTCGAATATTTAAGTCACGTTTATTTTACTGATTTAAATTTTATTATAATAAAAAAAATTTAAAATAATTATATTTAAATTTTTTTATTATAATAAAAAATTTTCACATAAAATTACGTCTCAACTTAAATTAACGAATTAAATAGATCATTAAATGTGAGTTCATACGGCACCTGTGGGTGGGCCCAAGTACTTGAGGGCACAGATATTTTAGCCTTTTAAATGTGGAAAATATCGGCAAGCTCCTATAAATGGTTTTTTTCCCCTTTTTTTTGTTGGAGAGAGGAGGAATCAGGAAATGCCGAAATGGAAAATACGGGATTTGTTTTCAACGGTCAGTTTTTTTTTTATCGTTTTTTTTTTTTAAAAAAGGAGAATTTTTTTGTAAGATTGTTTTAGGGGGAAAAAAAAGTTGATGATCAATCTTGATCCCAAAAGAAATTATGATTCATTTTTTTAGGAAGTGATATCGAGTCATTTTTTAATGAGGGGTCTCCTAATGATTTTTCAACATCGGATGTTAATCAACCAAGGACCAATAGAAAGTTTACTATTTTATATGAAGTGCTTTTTCATTAAAAAAAAAAGAAATTTACTCTTTTTACAATGTAATTATAATTAACCATTGGTATTAGTCAGTACCATTTTCAAATATGAGGAAAGGGTTAGATGATGGCTCCTTTCTTGTTCTCTTGCCGGAGTGCAATAATGACGAACTTTAAAAAAGTTGGGAAAAAAAAAAAAGGAAGCGGTGATTGGTTGGTGTAATCAACGAAGATAAGTAAAGGTTACCCTAAAAAAAAATAATAAACATACAATGAAGAATTGCATGGTTTGGAAGTTTTTCCTTTCTCCCTTTCAATTGTCTTGTCTTGACAAAAACAAAACAAAACAAAATTAGAAAAGTTAAGGGTGTATTTGAAGTTGTCTTCATTTTTATTTTTCACGTTTTTTAAGAAAGAAAAAATAAAAATGAAAGAAAAACGGCGTTTGGTATACTTAATAAAAAACAGAAATAAAAACGATTTTTTAGTTTAGTGTAAAATAAGAGATAAATGAAAAATGAATTTTAGTCGTTTTTCATTTTTTGTTTCCGTTTTCTCCCTTCTCGAGTAGAGAGAGAGAAATATTAATAGATTTTTTTATACTAAAAACAATCTCTTAAAAAAACTACCAAGCGCATTTTCATTTTTTATTTCTGTCTGAGATTGAAAACGTTTTCATTTTTATTTTTATACAAAAAATAAAATCATTTTTAAATGAGTTCCACACACACCCTTAGAATTAGGCATATTTGAATCTTATAGTCCAAGTTTTTCTTTTCTCCCTTTCAATTTTGCGCGTTCCTGTTTCTAGTACAACTTGTCTTGACAAAAACAAAACAAAACAAAATTAGAAAAGTTTAGAATTAGGCATATTTGAATCTTATGGTCCAAGTTGCCTTGTTGAGGTTTTAACTTTTGAAGGTAATAAAATAATAATTTGTGTAGCTGTTTAATCAGTACTAGGAACAAATTGCATCTTATTTTTTGGGTCGGAAAGGAATAAATTGTAGCTTAGCATAGCAGCAACGCGTTACAGTTGAAAATGAACCGGAGAACAGGTGCAAAATAAATGAATCTGGATTTTATTGCTTGAACTTTTCTTGGTAAAAAAAAGAATATTAGATTCAATACATGTCATTTTCATCTTTTGTAGAATAAATTTGGTGCTATACATGTATCAGTGTGTATTTTGTTGTTCCCTTCCAAAGAATCAAAAACATTCATTGATAAAGCTTCTTTTTCAGAATTAAAGAAGCTTCATGAGAGGAAAAAAAAAAAACAAAAACAAAACAAACAAATTGTTATTCTGTTCCACCTAGTTTTTGAACTTCAACAGAAAAGAAACCTGCAGTACCATTTTCCGTCTCAGTCCGTGAAGAAATATATCCAAAGTTGTTTCAACAAAACAAATTCATAAATCCCTGATTACCCAAAAATAAAGACAAATTAATACCCCGTTCATTTCATTGATTTAAATTTAGAATTCGAGTTTTGCTACAGTAAAAACCTTTCAGAAACAATCACATCTAACTTTTTTACTACAGTAAAAAGGTCTAACATAAAATCACTTCTCAACTCGAATTAAAAACTTAAATCAGCAAACTAAACGGGCCGTGTATTGAGCGCGTTTAGAATTCGTTTCAAAATAATTTTATTTTTTGTATAAAAATGAAAATGAAAACGTTTTCAATCTCAGACAGAAATAGTTTTTAAAAATACATTTGGTAGTTTTATCTAGATATTATTTTCAGTATAAAAAAAATAATTAATATATATATCTCTGTGCTCGAGAGAGAAGAAAATGAAAATAAAAAATAAAAAATAACTAAAAATTATTTTTTATTTCTCTATCATTTTATACTAAATCAAAAAATCGTTTTCATTTTCATTTTTTATCTCAAAAAAATAAAAAAAAATAAAAACGGGATCAATTCTAAATACGGTATTATTATTACCTGAGCCTAAGGTATGAGGTTATGGCACGTGGTGTCACATGGATAAGCACAATCAATCTCCTTGGTCACCCTCCTGCTAAAGTACCAGTCTCCAACCGCTTGCGCAATGGTCTAATACACATGGTCAAGAGTTTATATTCAGCATATTTGCAATTAAAAGACCGCTGAATCTACTAGCTAATTAGGAACTTGTGACAAATTACCATAATAAATTACAAGAAAATGTCCTTAATTAATACTTTTATGTCAGAACATTCATCACTTTGAAGAGAAGCACAACAAATTACAATACGTAAGTTCAAAAGTCCAGCAATCGTAAAAATAAAATGAGTCTAATTATAAATGGTATTAATAGTTCTCAGTACCATAATGATATAAAGTGGGTCCCATGTGTTATTTTGGTACATGGGACCACCCATATCGGACTAATTTTACGTGAGTTGTATGAACTATTCTAGAATCTAATCTAAACGATCAATGAGAAGAAATTCTGGTTGGCTTAGGTCCCAAATCATTTTTTTGTTGGCTAAGAATAAAGAAAATAGCGTTTTCCTGCAACTAAAAGTTGTGAGATAACGGGTTTTTAATTTCAGACAGAAATTATTTTTAAGAATGTGTTTTGTAGTTTTATTAAGATATTACTTTTAATATAAATACTACATTAAAAAATTATTTTCATTTATATTTTTTGTCTTTAATTGTGTCAAACGTCGTTTCAAAATTATTTTTATTTTTATTTTTTAAAAAAATATAAAAAATAAAAATAAAAATAATTTCAAACACGGCAAACAATGATGTTTTACACATGACTAAACGCAACGTCAGTACCTTGTTGTGTATTCTTGGGGAATCAATCCCAAACCACGTGTCTTGTGACTCACTTTGGCAATGAGCAAAGCAAGAATTGATGTACATTCCTCCTCTTTCCGAGCATTCGAAGAATGAAAATAGAGAAACAATCATATCTCGCCTAAAACCTGAAAAACAAAACACAACCTAAAATATGTAAAGACTAGATGGTAACTTGTATATAGTGCTTGGTAATTTGCCTGAACAAATTCTACGCTTATTTATTGCCTCAATAAATGGATGTGTTTAAAATTCGTTTTAAAATGATTTTATTTTTTTGTATGAAAATAAAAATAAAAACGTTTTCAATCTCAGACAGAAATTATTTTTGAAAATGCGTTTGGTAGTTTTATCAAGAGATTATTTTCAGTATAAAAAAATCAATTAATGTCTCTATCTCTTTCTCTCTACGCGAGAGAGAAAAAAATGAAAACAAAAAATGAAAAACGATTAAAAGTCGTTTTTCATTTCTCTCTTATTTTATATTAAACTAAAAAATCATTTTTATTTCCTTTTTTGTCTTTATTACGCCAAACGCTGTTTCTCGTTTTTTTTTTTTTTTAAATAATGAAAAATAAAAACGGGATCAATTCTAAACACGGCCGATGAAGCTTGAACTACGAACATTGAACGCTAAAATTGCAAGGAATCGAATAACAAACCTTGTAATATGGCTGTTTGGTTAGCATCACATGCTGCGGGATTGAGCTTGCAATGATTCCAATGCCCGTGCGGATCAGCAGAAGGTGGCACCAACCCGTGATGGAACTGTTAACGTTACAAATGCCGGAATTATTCGCAATTCTTACAAGCTAAGTGGAAGTTAATTAAACGACTTGAAAAGCATGGAGAATATTAGTACTTGGAACACGTCGTATGCCGAGTTCAAAATAAAAAAAGGCGTCTGAATGAATCTCAACGCATACTGCGGGAAGAAGCACTGCCCCAAGAATAAGACAGACATTAGAAAAAATGAGATCATATGATCAAGGGATTCAGTTTATAGCCAAGGATCCAATATGCAGCGGAAATAATACCAAGTCCGGAAATTTGAAGGAACTTGTGCAGTTCTTGTCCAGATTCTTCTCTATTCCCTGTCATGTAATCGTCTGATATGTGAATATAAATGTATTTACGCATATACACATAAGAAGAACAAGAGAGAATACAATCCTAAAATGTGATCTAGATAAATTTGTGCAATAGTACCCCTAGTTTTATCTTAGATTTGCGTCCCTAATCTAACGGTTTGTGTACTGATAATCGCAAATGATTCTCACTTACTTATGGTGAAAATTTTGCAAGAGGAACATCCCTAGAGCCTTATGATTTAAGAGCTTTTTGCTTCTTAATTTCCAGATTACGTAATGATCAGAGGCATGTCACTTAGTTTAAGAATACACCAATAACTCTAGTTAGTTCAAAAATTCACATGTTCACTAAGGTCCCGTTTATTCCACTGATTCGAGTTTAAAAATCAAGTTTTGCTAGAGTAAAAAGCTCTTAAAAAACAGTCACATCTAACTTTTTTGCTACAGTAAAAAGCTCTCACATAAAGTCATATCTCAACTCGAATCAACGAATTAAACAGGCCTTAAATTTCATCAATCGTAAAAGTTGGGTTGTTCCTACGCGACTCTCGTAAGATAAAAGAAGGGATACCTGTAGAGAAACTAAATCTTTATAGAAAGACCTCATAGTATGGTTCAAACTTATGTCTCTTCTGAAGAAAAAAAAAAAAAAAAACGCAACATTAAAAATGGAAATACGCAAAACAGTAAACGCAAGTGACTTGAGAAAGAAGGAAAGAACTTACGCGTCTAGAAAAAATCCGGCGTCACTCAAGCATTTTACACTGGCATTTGCTGGCAAATACTTGGTGAAATTGTCACAATGCAAAAACGAAGCCAAACCCCCAGCAGAGCAGCCTGATAACAAAGCCTAGAGTAGATATATATATATATATATATATATAAGATACTAAAATAGTATCAGATCACTTTTTAGTTTATAGATTTATTGACAACTTCTTTGCTAAACTAAATTGTACAAGTATTTGTGTGCATGCAAGCTGTAAACAAAAACTACGAGGATGGGACTTTTTTTTTATTTTTTTTATTTTTTTTACCTTGCGGGCCATTCCTAAACCTTTAGGTAGAAGATCGTGAATGATTGCTTGCCATATCCTTTGGCCTCTGAAATAGAGCAATGATGTCTGTCGTTCATTTTAGAGAGAGAAAACCGATTAAGTAAATACATATATAAATATATGGCTTTTCCCGCTTAGTATGAGGGGCAAAAATTCCTGTTAAAAAGGACCACCACCATAACGCCAAGTCTTTTAATGCGTTATGCAGTGACTAAACGCAGGCTCAGTGCTTTCCTG